GTGGTTTGAATGAATTGCTGCGGTAATGAATGTTTAGCCGTGTCCGCGTGACATTGATATAGAACTCAAGCCCCCACCCATTTGTTGCGCGTGCAGACCTGGAAAAAATGTAACCCCCCGGCCCCGCCCACAAACACTGTAGTAAGAAAAAGAGAAAAAAAAAACACTGTAGTGAATCGCGGGTGAATAATTTTGCGAAGATGCTGTGATCTGAAGTGTGAGGGGAAGTTAGTGTTATTTTCCTTACCCAAAGATGAGGCTGTGAAGAGTCAGTGGTTGTTTATTTTAGTTTATTTTTGCAAAAATACTTCAGCATTATAGCCCCAGCCTTGTGCTGTGTTCCCGTCATTTTTCTGCAATTTACATGCTTACAACGGGGGATTCGTCAGCCGTTTGTTAAAGGAAGGATCAGAAAAGACTATTGATGTAGGGGGCTTTGCAGAGCTTGAGAGGAACTTAACAATACACAGTTAATGGACCAGTTTCTTCCGCCATTTCACAAGTGTAAGTGCGATTAAAATGGTTGCCTTCTTGTTTTCTCTAGCTTGCAAATTATGTTTCTAATTGTATTTTGTTACTTGTAACCGTTTATACTATATCTGCTTAATTTTTTATATTCTTATATCGCGTCTAAAACCACGTTGAAAATGCGACACATGCCCACTTTGTTTACAGACTTAAATGCATTTGTAAGCTCGTGATCCACTGCTGTTATACTTACGGTTAAGAATAAAGCAAAATGCTGGTGTTATGCACTCCTTTATTGGAAATGAATCGCTGGACAAATCATATGGGAGTCATTGAGATATTCATTCATTTTCTTTTCGACTTCTATTCTCTTTATTAATCCAGGGTCGCCACAGCGAAATGAACCGCCAAATTATCAAGCACGTTTTTTACGCAGCGGATGCCCGTCCAGCCACAAACCATCACTGGGAAACATCCACACACACTCATTCATATTTATAAACTACAGACAATTTAGCCTACCCAATTCACCTGTACCGCATGTCTTTGAACTTTGGGGGAAACCGGAGCACCCGGAGGAAAACCACGCGAACCCAGGTAAAACATGCAAACTTCACACATAAACACCAACTGACCCAGTCGAGGCTCGAAACAGCAAACTTCTTGCTGTGAGGCGACAGCGCTACCTATTGCGCCACTGCGTCGCCCTTTGCTAGTATAATTAGGTAAAAATAAATGCAAATTATAAGACAATGAAAGTGTTTTGTGACCTTGTATGCATATCAGTCTGTTGTTGGAGACCCTCCAAAACCAAAACATGACGTTTTTTAATGCATAATAGAGGCTCTTTAAATACATTTTTGAGGCTGTACTTGTTTACTTTTGCTCAAGTACAAAAATGTGGTCAGTACTTTAACTTCTTCCAGCAGTGGTGGATTTCAGCATGGGTAATGTATTTGTCCTTCTACTTGAGTAAAGGAAGTGTGTACTTTTGCCATCTCTGTAAATAAACAATTGAAGGGCCCAACACCAAGCCTTATGGCACACTACGAGTGTGCTTCTGATACTAAAATCAAATGATAAAGCATTTGCACAAATAATCAGGAAATTAATTAGGCACTTTGTTACGTTTCCTTTTATTGTAAAGGTGAAATATTGAAAAAGTTTGAATCATGTCAGCGGATCAACAAGGAAGAGAGACAACTACAAAACATCTACGCAAGACTTTGGTAAGAATAATTTCTTATAAAAAAAGGAAGTTATCAGAAAGACTGATAAAACAAAATGAATTACAAACCCAACAAACAAACAAAACAATTCTATTTCATTTAAACAGAACCTACATGTCTTACAGTGGAGAACAAAATCATTACAGATCAATGGGTCCATACAGCAATAATTTCAAACATGATACATATAAAATCCTGGAATAGCTGGTTATATGTGCTTTTAGTTCAGGAAAATGACACACCAAAATATCATCACAGGAGACAACAGTTCCATTACTTGAATTGGCATATGGCCATTATCATTACTCAACAGTATATTTCCCCCACAACAGATCTACAGTAATCTTGTAAAAGTACAACTGGTTTTCATAAATGGCTATATGTTTGGGCGAAGAACATTCTAAAATGAAACATATTACCAGCTCTAAAATTGCAAATTTAAGAAATTTGAGCAAATTTAAGGACAAAATGACAACCCAATGACCATTACATACTAAAGATTTTAAGTTAAATAAGTTGTGATTTTTGAGTGGCCTTCTTTTCTCTTATAGTACACAAATGTTTAATCTGAAAGGGATATGACTGCAAAAAAAAAAAAAAAAAAAAAAAAAAAAAAAAAAAAAAAACGGCTTCTAACAACTTATATGTTTTTATATTCCCTTTTTTATGTTCTTCCAAAATCTTTAAGACACTATAAAACATATTTAAATGATTATATGTATGAACATGTATGAAAGTCTGATAGGATTAAAATTATAAAACAATATATAAAAATAATAAAGTCAAACTCTGAGGGAAAGTTTAACATAATTTGTTTTAACATGCCTTTTGGTTTGATATCTTCCAGTGCCATGGGGAAAAAAATAAATAAAAAATCATACATTTGAAGCATTATTTTAGGTGTCAAAACAATTGTGGACCACTAAGTAAGCTTCATGAAATTAAATGTCTTTAAATATGTCAGGACTAACAGAATAACAATCTTTAGATGCAAGCAAACTGTGTATGCATTTTAAGTATTGTTTTAAGTTTTACTTTAAAAAATAAATAATAGAACACACAATACTGACACAGTGACAGCATCTAAATTGTAAATAATTGTTCATATTGTGCATATTATATGATTAACTCAGAATCCTTATGTTGAATTCTTGGAATCACTGTTTGATTTGCAACACACCTTTGTGCCAATGTGGTATTGCCTTTTGACTTATTATTATTATTATTATTATTATTATTATTATTATTATTATTATTATTAGTATCATTTTATTTATGTAATAAATTGTGATGTTTGTTCTGTCTGCGGCATTTTTCTTTATATGTTATCTAAGAAAACATGTACAGTGCCCAGCATAATGAGTACCACCCATTTTGAAAATGAATATTTTTATCCATTTCTCAGTGAATATAGGCAGCGTTTAGGTGCATTTAAACAAAACAGATTTATTAAACAGATATATTTATAAAAAAAGTATTTATTTACTGAACGTATAAAGAATTGAAATATAATAAAATTTATTTCAAGCAAAGTATTGCAAAAAAAATAAAACAATTACAACCTACTAAATTTTAACTGAATTAAAATTTGACTAATCTAATGTATATGCACAAATATAAAATTGTAGAGCCTCCTATTAAAAATACTAATTTAAAATATATATTTGTGAGGGATGTACTTATATATGCTGAGCACTGTATATATACACAAAATACATTGTTAAAATTGTTCAAAAGTTTAATGTATCTACGCTAAAAAATCTCCACAAATAACAGTTTTACTTATTTTCTTTTTTTCCCATGTATTTATGAATTTGAATTGCATTCTGGGACCTTGATCTTTTCTCCAGTTACCTTTGATGTTAAACAGTTTGGAAAAGGTGACTTACATTGATATTTTTATTTACATTTTAAAAGATATACAGTATTGGTTGGGTTGGTGTTTTAAATCAGTTGTTCCCAAACCTTTCAGCTCTCGACCCCAATAATAACAATACCAGTGACTCACGACCACAATACACTCTGAGATGGTTATAAATTTACAAACTCGCACACACCAATAGGCCCAAATCTATTCTTCGTTTAACTTTGTTAAATTTCGTTTAATAAATGCCACTCTGAGACCTTCATGTTTAGTTGTTGCCGATATTTAGTTTGAGTGCCGTAAAGGTGTTAGAAATTTTAACCTGGTGCCATAAAATCAATCTGCTGCATCTGACGCTATTGCTTTGTCTTTAATATAAGGTAATCTCCCCAGAGGTCATAATCAGGGCTTGACATTAACATTAATAATTAGCATTATTTACAATAACAACGCTCTAATAGAAGAATAACCACATTTATATATAGTTAACTGGTCATAATATAATGATAATATAACATACTTTAAATCAAGTAAGATTACAAGTAATTTTAGCATGCCAAAGTCAAATTTAAAATATATTTTCCCAACAACAAAATTGTGGCTATTGAAAATGGCGAGTGATAGATAAATTGGAAAACTACTAGCTACAATGGCTGGTGATCAAACAAGTTAATGTCAAGCCCTGGTAGTAATCCTATTGGAAAATGTATTTGCATGTTCATTCATTCATTTTTTTTTTTTTTTTTTTTCTGGCTTAGTCCTTTTATTAATCTGGGGTCTTTTTATTTTTATTCTTTACATATTATTTCTTATACAATATATTGTTTCAAACTAACAACATTTTTATAGAAGACACAGTTAAACATCAAAAGTCAACAGAGCAAAGATTAGCATTGAATATTAATTGAGCTTTTCTTCTAAAATTAACATTTTTTTCAGGCTCTTGTGTGTAGGTTCAGTAAAAAGTAAAATCATGCAACATAAACAAAGGAGGCTGAGAGAAATGTTCAATTTTGATAGCAATTTTGATGAAAAAACACTATCTCTCTCTCTCTCTCTCTCTCTCTCTCTATATATATATATATATATATATATATATATGTATATGTAATAAATTAGAAGAATATATTTGCATAGGGTTATTTATTTATGCATTTATTTATGCATTTATTTTTTAAATGCTGTCAGTGTACCTATACCATACATTCTAATATCTATCCAAATGTACAAAAAAGAATATATATTTTTTAGTAAATGTATACTATGTGCAAACAAAACCAGGCTCAATATACAGTACACCAATAAAACCCTGGACATATATGGTAATTTTTAATTGCATTCCAAATCTCTTAAATAGGTAGTTTGCATGCATCTAAATGTAGTTCTTCTGATTATTTGATTAGAGAGTGAATGTAAACATCAGGTTTTTTTTTTGTTTTGTTTTGTTTTCTCTGACCTGTTCATGTCTTAAATAAAAAAAGAAAGTAGATAAGTCTTTGAAGTCTTTGACTCTTGTGACCTTGCTTTTGCAAATGTCATTCCTTTTGAGGAAATTATAGTTTCAGAATGTGTGTGTGTGTGTGTTTGTTTGGATCACAGAGTATAAAAGGAGAAATTTGTTTTGCATTTCCTGTCAAAACACATTAATGTTTAATATGCCACGGTCCTGCTTGTGAAAAATCAATCTTCAAAAGTAACTCCCCTCTTCAAAGCTTTTCAAAGGGCTGTTATTCTCAAATATTAATGCATATTAATACATCTGAATTTGTACAGCACATTGCAACTCTAAGCATCTTCCCCCTTCCTTTCCCACCCATTTACAGGCCTGGGTCACTATAAATTCTATAAAATAAAAGTAAAAATAACAGACTAGCTGTTGCAGCTTTCCAACCACCGGACATAGTGCTTTAAATTACTGCAAAACAGTGCGTCATAGTCTGTTCATAATTTAGATTGGGTCGCGTCCATCAAGCCCATGCAGTACAGCCCTAGCAGGGATGGACATTGCAGGCACGAATCTCCTTTCGGTCTTTACAGCTTGTTAGTTGTGCGTTCTTAAATCTCTTCTTGGCCGTCATGAGCCGCTCCTGGATGCCTCCCCCGCATAACTTGGTACAGTCAGTCCATCCAGACCACGACTTCATTTTGCATCCTAAAGGAACAAGTTTAGACAATATAACTGATGTTAGTGGCAGTAAAATGAATCATAATTCTATACAGTTAAATTGATATTGTAGAGATGTTAAGGCTGGATTATATTTCGATTGTCGTGACTCTCGGCGTATGCCTTGCTCATAGTCAGGCATTTAAACTTCTGCATGCTGTTTATGTTGCTCTGCAATGACACTTCCAAAATGCTAGCTGGCAGTAGGTTATGCTATATTCCTCTGTATTGAGTTTCTTCATGTGTGTTTTGTTTCTCCGATCACTACCTTATTGTACAAGTAGCTAAAACTCGATCATTCATAAGCATGCACATGCAAACATGCAACAACTTTAATCATAAGGTAAACACAAAACAAAAATTCCATCTGGAGCTCCTTCATGAGACTTGACAAGTGCTCCAACAATGGATCCATCAGGCTTGTGGCTTCAGCACTGCCCACACTTGTCACAGCTACTAAGCCGACTAATCAGAGCTTGTGCTATGCCTCATTGTAATGTGTAGTTAGATTTTTTTTAAAGCCGCCTTTCCACAGCATACAAAAAATGACAAGCAACAGACTGGAAGTCATTCATTTACAATGGAGAGTAGTCTGGGAGCTGCGTGGAGTTCCAATCATCTCCATATGCGGAAGATCCGATTTGAGCCATGGATCTGTTAAAATATTCGAACTCCGAACAGATTTGATGTTTTCCAGTGTTGTCAAAGCAGGTTCATGCGCACAAGATGAGAAATGCGAGTTTTCTGTTATTTTTGGAATCATAAAAAAATTATTCAAAAAATAATTATATTCATAATTAAGTAATAAAAAAATATTATTATGTGTCTCCACATTAAATCCAAAACTTTTAGCAGTCTATGATGAATTTATAGTATTATTCAATCATTCATTTATTCAACCATGGTGAACGCACAGAGAATAAAAAGCTCTTGCTTTTGCACACCTTTATTTTGAAAACCACAGAGAGAATCAGCTTCCCATGGTGCATGACAAAACAGAATATTCTGTGCGACTACCACAAGGGGTCATATTCCGACAGTCGTGTTAGAAGTCTAGGGCTATGCGACCGCACGGAGGCTGCGCCAAACCATACGTGTGTGCTTGACACAGAAGTATGAATCAGACTTTACTCTATATAAAAGATAATGTATAGAATATTTATTTGGTTGCTCTTGCAGAATAAAGCCCAACAGGATTATCAGATGTTAAATAAAGCCTTATGAACATGGGACAAATTTTGCAATTATTATCATTCTGTTTTTTTCATTGGTGGTGAGCAGATTAAACATGCAGATTTTCTAATGGATGTCTGCTCCAGGATGGAGTAACACATAAAATGTTTTATGTCTTTATAAATAATAATAAAGTTAAATGTTTAAGAGCCTAGACTGTATATAATAACGAATATTATATAATAAAGAAATTAAGATAAAGACTCTGCGGGATTTGTTTTACCACTTCTCTTCACAAACTAACCTTAAGGCGACGGTGAAGCTGAATATTAAAAGAAAAGCCTAATGCCAACATTAGCCTGTATACTCTGTCTACATTATACATTTATGGTTTAATTCATATTTTTTATACTTTAATAACTCTTTACTCACCAAGATTAGGCTATGTGTTTTAGTGGAGGAACATTTTTTAATCTACTGTAAATGGCGTTTTGCGCAGTCCTGTGCTCAGGATGGTGTTTCCAGCAGCACTGAACACCTTTCACTGCTGCTGCTACAGGCCAAGAAACAAAGATCTGATCTGGCTAATTTTGCCAGTTTTGGGTAGAATAATGTTTTCAACCTCTATCAGCCAGGAACATCCATTACATTTTCCATGATAGTAGTTTCAGTGTAGCGAGTGACCTCGTCATCTTCCCTGTAAGCTTGCTGTACATACATTGCCCTCCACCCCAATACGCAGTGTATGAGTGATCGCCGAAATACCTTGGCGGATAGAATGACCGTTCTTTCTAAACTAGCGGCTGGCCTGACCGCAGTCAAAATTTGCTCTTTTTGACTTCTCCGTCATCATTTGTTTCACCTGTGCATGGATGGATTTTAATGTTGTAACAAACAATTTGATTAGCCTTTCTCAGGCTAATCGAAATGCATCACATGACTCTTCATTTACTGTGCAAACCAAGCCCGACCCGACCTCCTCTAAAATGATAGAAATTAAACACAAACCCACCCGAACCAATCAAGTTCGGGCAAAGATCTTCAGCTCTAATATATATGCTAATTTAAATAGTTTATTAATCATTTACTTACTCATTCGGAATGATCTTGAAAAAACACCAGCTATGCATAAATAACTATTTTATAAATAATGTAACAAATAATGTAATTCTTAACTTAGTAGTAAAAAAAATTACCATTAACAAAGTATAAAAATTTTGTCATTAAGCAGAATATACATGAGCTTTTAAGTCAAGAATACAACTATTGTAGCTGCAGTTATAATCTGCTTACTAATGTCTGTTAATGTAAAGTTAATGCTTGACAAATGATTAATGAACTATTTGCTAATGCTTAATAAATGATTCATAGTGTGCAGTTGGTATAAAGTGTTAAAAAAGGTTTATTGAGGTACAATTTGTTAACTTTTGTGTCAGCAAAGTGAGCTCCGCACATTAAATTCAATAAACCAGTTAATCAAATAAGACTGTTGCTATGATTGTGCATTTCTGTTAATCATGTATGTGTAATGGTTAGTTTTTGGTCAGAGAAACCCTTTAAAAGAAAAGATTTTAACCTGCAAGCTCATCTGCAGTTTCTTCTCCTGCCTGTTTGTTCCTCCTCTTCTTGCGGTCTTCTTTGCGTCTCTTCCTCTCATCGTTGTTTCCAGCCCCTTGATTACACTTCTTTATCTTGCACGTTTTTCTTTGTGTGACCTCAGGGCATGGATCTCCTCCAAACTGAGGCTCCAGAGTGATCATGCGTGTACGGAGCAAGTGACCCTTTCCACAGGACTTGCTGCACTCGGACCATTCAGACCACTCTGACATTATACAGTCCATTGCTAGAGAGAGAAAGACAGAGAAGAAAAAATACTTTGTTTTATACAGAAAAGAGACTTTATTAAAGTAGATAAATATAACAACATATCATAGGTGTCATAGGCATCTCATGGTGCAGTGGGTATAGCACGATCGCCTCACAGCAAAAAATTCGCTGGTCGCTGGTTCGAGTCCCGACTGGGTCAGTTGGCATTTCTGTGTGGAGTTTGCATGTTCTCCCCAAAGCCCAAAGCCCAAAGACATGCACTATATGTAAGTTGAATAAGCTAAATTGGCCATAGTGTCATTCATTCATTCATTCATTTTCTTGTCGGCTTAGTCCCTTTATTAATCCAGGGTCGCCTCAGCGGAATGAACCGCCAACTTATCCAGCAAGTTTTTACGCAGCGGATGCCCTTCCAGCCGCAACCCATCTCTGGGAAATGGCTATAGTGTATGTATGTGAATGCAAGAGAGTATGGGTGTTTCCCAGTGTTGGGTTGAAGCTGGAAGGGCTTCAATCAATCAATCAACCAATCAATCCATCAATCAATCAATTTGTTTGTGTATATGCATGTATTCATGCATGCATGTATATTGAGTATTTTGTTTATGGCGTGCTGTTAGTAAATTTTTCTAACGTTTTGTCGGTTTTTTATTTATATACATTGATTATTTGTACACATTTTTATTTGTGTTGATGAATAAAAGTCATAGAGGATGGAAACGACATGAAAGTGAGTAATTAATAACATAATTTTCCTTCTTAAGTTATTTGTGAAATCCTAAAATATCCCTAAAATCCTAGGCTAAAATCTGTGGTCTATGATTGTTGGTTTGACATGTTCACAGACAGCAGCTAAGTCCCCGTCAGATTTTTTCTCTGATGAAGTTCTAGCAGTGTCAGATGATTTCAGACACTTTCCTGCAGTGTGACAACAGCTGCGATGAGCATCAATCCAAGAACCAATAGGAGCTCTCAATTTGATGACGCAATCCATTCGACAATTCAAATGGCTCGGGGGAAATGTCAAAAATGTTTTCTTTTTTCTTCCTAGTTTTCTTGTTGAGGCGAGCTATGTGCAACGTTATAGATTGTTTACGTTCGCTGTAAGAAATTTAGTATGTGGGATAGTGAAAGTGTCAAGTAGGATGATGTCAAACTCTAGACTTGCAATTAGTTCAAAATGCAGCTATTAGTCTCCTGACAGGAACCCATTAGCAAGAACATATGTGTGAAAACCCAGCTAATGTTGTTTTGTCTGTGCTTTTTTTTTATTTTTTTTTAACATAAAACCTATATAAACAATGTAAAAATATTCTGTGTAAACACAACTTTACTGTTTTTATTATTGACTGAGTTAGGTCATTTCCACAATTTGTTTCATTTCAGAGTCTCAGACTTATTTGAGAAAATCATCCTTTTGAGAAAATCCAATTAGAAGAAAGCTTATGTTTAACTGAACCATGATTATTGTCACTATGTGCTACAAAACAAAATCTAGATCAAAATATCAAAGCCTTGATAATTAATCTATAATTTATTATAAACAGAAATAGCATATTTTTGTCTGTTTCGTATGACTATACAGCTTTGACACTCTTTTTCTCAGAAATAGATTATGCGACTTTAGCCAGGGTTTCAAACAGATGGTCACATATACTTACAGTTCTCACACTGGGCTGTTGCGAGTTTCCCAAACAACGCTGTAACTCGGGACTGAACTATCATGGTACGATGCATCATTTCGGAAAAGAACGATGTAATGGAGAGTGTTTCTTAAAACCCATAGTTTCTCTGTAGCAGATTCATTGTTTGAACCATGTTAGTTATAATGCTCAAAATGATGCTCTAAACGGGGTGGAGTAACAACTTCTTTAGAGAAGAACCCCATACTTTTTTTTGTGCAAATAACATTGTTTTACACACACAGGCATTAAAAAAATAATCAATATTAAAATAAAAATCAATATTAGTTTTAGTAAAAACATGCACTTGAATTCCATATTATTTGAAATGTAAATGGGATATAAAGAGCAAATGTTTCCTTTACAAATATTATTGAGAACATTACATATTCTATTCTAAAACATAAAATCACTTACAGCTACCACATATTCTAATCTTATATACTGTATAAATCATTTAAATAAAAAAATAAATAAATAAATAAATAAATAGGCTGTTTATTAAGAAATTAAATTAAATTTTTAATTTTATGAGGAAATTAAAAAAATCATACATTTATAATAATAATAATAATAATAATAATAATATAAAAAATATTAATGATGATGACGATTATTATTACTATTCATTCATTCATTTTCTTTTCGGCTTAGTCCCTTTATTAATCCGGGGTCGCCACAGCGAAATGAACCGCCATATTATCCAGCACATGTTTAACGCAGCGAATGCACTTCTAGCTGCAACCCATCTCTGGGAAACATCCATACACACTCATTCACACTCATACACTGCGGACAATTTAGCTTACCCAATTCACATGTACCGCATGTCTTTGGACTGTGCGAGAAACCAGAGCACCCAAAGGAAACCCCGGCGACAGCACTACTTACTTATTTACTTACTGTGTCACTGTATCACCCCATTTTATTATTATTATTATTAAAAATTATATATATATATATATATATGCAAAAGTTTACTTTTAGAATTTGACACATGCGAACCACGGCAAAAATGTTCTAACCAACAAGGAATTGATGGAAATGGGGATTGGGCTTTCAATGTTATTGCTCTACAGGGACCACCAAGTGATTATTTAAACAATAAGTAAAGTAAGCTGACTAACTAACTAACTAACTAACTAACTAAGTGACTAAGTGATTACTTAACCAATAAGTGAGGTAAGCTAACTAACTAACTAACTAACTAACTAACTAACTAATAACACTGATCATAAGGCTTTAACATGACATGTAAAACATATGAAGAAGTCTAAAAACTTAGGAGGCCTTAGGAAGCTTTTCACTGTGTGGCTTTAATGTTGTATGTGTATGCAAAATAAACTCACGACATTCTGGCAACATGCATTTCTCCATCTGCTCCAGATCCTCATTGCATTCTCCCAACTCCACTGCTGATTTAAGCATCCGCTGACGTACCCGTGTGCCTTTACCACACGTTACACTGCAATCACTCCAGTCTGACCACGGGGACAGTAAACACGGGATTGTATCTGTAAAATAATTAAGCAAATAAATCAAAATGATATATGTAATACAAAATATTAATAAAATGTGTACACATAAATGTGGGTTTGTATTCTGTATTTTATACTAATGTGAGCATCTATTGTGTGATTACTAGTATTATGAATGCTTATGTGTGTTGTATATTTATTTAGAAACCTGTATGCTGTTTTCATTCTTATGTAGTTATGCTATTTCTGCAAGGATATTTTGTGAGTTATAGATTTGAATATGTTGAAGTTTTTTATTTCAATATGTGGTATGTTTGTATGTAAAATGCAAATGTGGACAGTTTAAGGTGGCCATGTGCATGAATATGTTAATGGCCACATAAACATTCACTGACATGTAATGTGTGGGAATCTATTAATGTTTTATGAATATGGTAAACTGGCTGCAGTCATGGATTTGCATATTTTAATGTGGGAATGGGCATGTGAGTGCACTTACGGCATTCTGGCATCATACACTTCTCCACTTCCACCACTTCAGCCCCACAAATGGAGCCATCAGATGGAGGCATTTTCACCATTCGCTCTCGTCTTTTCATGCCAAGCCCACAGGTGGCGCTGCATGCATCCCATTCACCCCATTCTGTAACCAGACAGCTGCTCGGAGCTGCACCAGCAGAAACATACACATACATCAGTGTGGGAGGAACTATAATCAGTTCTCTTTGTTTCAAAACAAATTAGCCGCATATTAAACTGAGCAACGAGGGTTTAGCTGATTAGTTTAATACAGTAAGATGCTGCAACAGTTTAAATGACTTCCTTAGTCAGATTTAGAGGGTAACTAGTTCCATGCAACTTTAATTTGCCACAGTTACTGATAATTTACAATTAAATAAGTTACTTTTTTTAATAAAAAGGGAGGTACAGTGGGATATATAAAAAAAAAAAACTTTGATATATTAAATATTATTAAATTATTGCTTTGCAGAAATGATGTTCACGATGCTTGTTTTATAAGAAGTGAAGGGTTCAGATGCAAAAGCCGTTAAAGCGCCACTTCCACCAAAAATGAGCTAATGACATTGAGTGAATGCTTTAGGCATGTAGTACGCAGCGTCAGCGCATTCAGAAATAGTAGTTTGTTTGGAAAACTCTCTAAACGCCACTTGCCTTTGACAGCAAAAGCCGCTTTATCCCAAGAACCAATCAGAAGATGCAAACTGAATCATATGTTCTCAATGTATTAGTGCACTGATTCGCTGGCTTTATGAGGAGGCTGTTTTATTCTGCTTCCAATTTAAAAGACAAAGATTGATGAACTGCATGAGCCTGTCCGACTGTCAGTGAATGGCAAATGAAAACGTCCCTTACCTAAAAACTCTCAGCATTATAAGAATAAGAAAACACACTGTACAGTGGGAAGTGTAGCATGCATTCATAACGTTTGTTTGTGCAGCGGCGCTACTCTGAATAAGTCCAATTTACTATAGCTACATTAAACAGCAACTCCATTTCACTAAAGATGAAGTTAAGATACTGTTCTTTTATCCCACATGGATGCTATAAGAATAAACAATACATGAAAAAGAGACCAGGACCAAGAACTTGAGCATAGTGAGGATAAATAAATGACAGCTTCTGAGAGACATCCTCACTTTTTTTGCACATTAGGCACAACTTGTGTTTGATTTGCTGATGCAAGCTATGTTTAAAAGATACATATAATGTATAAAACTATACATTATGTATATTACATCAATAAATTTTATATATTTTTTTTAGGAATGGGCAATGCAAAGCTATTAATGTTTCACTGTTTTTACACAACATTATTTGAATCTAACAAGCTTGTTTACATTGCTCTACTCACATTAAATCTAAATATCGAATATCAAAAATGACAACAGAATGTTATGATTTAATTAATGTCAATTTTAATGTTATTAATGTACTTGACAGATTTCATTCATCCATTTTCCTTTTGCTTAGTCCCTGGTTTATCAGGGGTTATTACAGTGGAATGAACCACACTTACTTGACATATATATATTTTGAATTCCAGGTGGTTTGTGTATGTGTTATATGTTCGGTAAAATAATTTCTAATTGCATCTTTAGTGATTTTTCAACTAATTACAATGTCTTGTCTCAATAGGTATAGAGATTTTCACACACACACACACACACACACACACACACACACACACACACACACACACACACACACACACACACACACACACACACACACGCACACACACACACACGCACACACACACACACACACACACACACACACACACACACACACACACACACACAAGGATTTAGCTGGTTTTGGCGCAAAAGAAAATTTACTTTAGTTAAAATGCAAAGAATTGTCTACAGTGACATTTTTGAAAAGAAAAAGAAGCTATTTTATTTACTAGCTAAAAACCATATCATTACCTATAAAATAAGGCTTCTGAATCTAATCAGAGGAGCCTGATAGCAATGTTTTGCATTTGAACTCTTCAAGTGTTTACTGACATTTTTTTTTTTTTTTTTTGTTAAGCTATTGACCTTTATCATGTATTGATTTTAAATGTATTTAGCCACAGGAATGCTTGAGAGCACGGCTCATCTAATATTGCCATAGCTTTGCTTCAATGTTAAATTATTATAATATTTTGATCTTACATCTGATCGTAATTAATGTTGAGTAGGACTGTATTAACAATACCTGGTTTAAATGTTTGATTTAAGTCATTAGAGATGAAGAAAAAGTATCAAATATGATGTATAACTTAATCTTGTTTTAATTTTAAATCTGTATTAGCCACTAAAAACAAACAAACAAACAAACAAACAAACAAACAAAAAACAAGAAAGCAAGGGGAAATCTGAAATGTACAACTTTTACATTCTGAAAATGTAGCCATTTCTGGAGAGCGCCAAATACATACCAAAAGGTAAGTTTTTTTTGCAGTTTCTGTTTTCGCTAATCCCCCAGAGGCCACTGTGTAAGCTTTTTTCTGATCTCAAGTTTCTCTCCATTCCTGTTCATCTTGCATGAATCCACCAGAGGCCGCTGTCGACTGACTGACTAACTGATCGACCGACCAATCTTCCCACCACCTCCTTCCCTAAACCTAACCAAGATGTTTACTATTTGTGGTATAATTTTAAATTTAAAACTGTCCATACCGCTAATATTGTCAACAATACATTGCGCGTTGTACGAGAATTTGATTAGAATTTGATTAGAACCACATGGAGGAAAATTTAATCTAACCGTCAAGTATAGAGGCTTTGAAGATGTTTGAATGATGGTTAATCAAGATCTAGTCCACTTGAACATATTTAAATCACATTTTCTATGTTATATTTTATCTACAACAACAATGCTGAACTTATATAGAGACATGTTTGAACATTAAAGTCTGAATGCATAATTACCCAATAACCTGAGGACATTTCTCTGCATAAAAGACTCAAGAATGGCAGGTTATCCTGCTGCTGGTTCTCCAGTAAGGTAGGAAATTAAATATGAAAGAAATGTGGATGATGTGTGTATGATTGTAAGAGCTCATAACTAAGTAATGTAACGATCTGGTAACAAGGAAGTTGTATGCCCCAAAGCTTGCAAACTCTTCTTTTACACATTCAAATACATATACTTTTTCTTCTCAAAAAGTACATACTTTTAGTGTGTAGTTTAAGAATGTGAATTGTGATGCAGCAACTGTATTTTCAAAAAGCACCAATTGACCAGCATTAATTTAAGGTTTACAACAATCATTAGAAATGTGGAAATATTATCAAAATGTAACCACATATAATCAGCCAAGTTACTTCAATGAAAACATTTTAATGGTTCACTCATGTTAAATAGGGTAATCTGTAAATTATGACATTTTTAAGTAACCTTCCCAATACTATCCTTAAATTTGATGGCAATTATTGTATAAAGTACATTGAATAGTTACACGATTTCATGAGAACCTTAATGTGTTCTTGTTACATGTTCCATTAACTTGCTATAGTAATTAGACTTAAATTTGTATAATTTCATGTAATTAACCCTAAATCCACATTCTAACCCTAATCATAAAGTGAATACATGTAATTAATTCCTCATCTATTAATTAATAGTTACACTTTTCAATAACAGCTCATTCGCTGATGTTAGTTAATGTATTTACTAACATGAATTAAGAATAAACAATGCCTCATTACTCACCAGCCACTTTATTTATCCAACTGCTTGTTAACGCAATTTTCTAATCAATCAATCACATTGCAGCAGCTCAATGCATTTAGGCATGTAGACATGCCATGGTTCTTGGTGCCAGACAGGCTGGTCTGAGTATTTCAGAAACTGCTGATCTACTGGGATTTTCTCGCACAACCCTCTCTAGGGTTTACAGAGGTCCGAAATGGTCCGAAAGATTGAGATCATTCATTGAGCGAAAGATCTGTGGGCACAAATGCTTTTGTTGATGCCAGAGGTCAGACTGGTTCGAGCTGAAAGTCGTCAGTATCTCAAACTACCCCTCATTACAACCAAAGTATGCAGGAAGAGCATCTCTAAATGCACAACACATGGAACCTTGATGCAGATGGGCTACAGCAGCAGAAGACCACACCGGGTGCCACTCCTGTCAGCTAAGAACTGAAAATTGAGGCTACAGTTTGAACAGGCTCACCAAAATTGAACAACAGATTGAAAAAATGTTGCCTGGTCTGATGAGTCTTGATTTGTGCTGCGACATTCGGATGGTAGGGTCAGCATTTGGCATCGACAACATGAAAGCATGGATCCATCTTGCCTTTTATCATTGGTTCAGGCTGAGGGGTGGTTGTATAATGGTGTGGGGGATATTTTCTTGACACACTTTGAGCCCGTTAGTACTAATTGAGCATTTTGTCAACCCCACAGCCTACCTGTGTATTGTTGCTGACCATATCCATCTCTTTATGACTACAGTGTACCTATCCTCTGGTGTCTACTTCCAGCAGTATAACGCGCCATGTCATAAAGCTTGAATAATCTTAGACTGGTTACTTGAACATGACAATGAGTTCACTGTACTCAAATGGCCTACACAGTCACTACAACTTAATCCAATAAAGCACCTTTGGGATGTGTTGGATCAGGACATTCGCATCATGGATGTGCAGTCAACAAATCTGCAGCAACTGCGTGATGTTATCGTGTCAATATTGACCAAAATCTTGGAGGAATATTTTTGGTACATTGTTAAATCTATGCCACGTAGGATTAAGGCAGTTCTGATGGCAAAATGGGGTCCAACCAGGTACTAGTATGGTGTACCTAATAAAGTGACCGATGAGTGTATGTTCATTAGTTTATTAATACATTGTTAAAATCTAAAGTTGTGTTTGTTAACTTTAGTTAACAAGAAATAAGATGAACAGGTATTGTAATAGATCTATTGTTTATTGCCTTGTTAATATATTTAAATAAAATGTTATAAATAAACATTTAATTGACATTTATTAAACAATATTAGGGAACACTATGTTATGTCACAACTAATGATATTACCAAACAATTAACAAAAAAATATTAGCTACATATTAGGTAGTATTAGATGGATTCAGGTTTGGATTGGAATTAGGGGATGTAGAATAAAGAAATAAAGTTACCCCTTGTAAAGTGTTTAGAAATCATGAAACTGAGTGACATTTCTGATTAAATCTAATGAATCAATAAAATGACATAAGGAAATCTCTGTATACAGCAGTAAATATATAAACCAAGCAATTTTTTATCTGTATTTTTATTTATTTATTTATTTATTTATTTATTTATTTATTTATTTATTTATTTATTTATTTTTGGTGGTTTTAGGGGGTGTTGATGGTATATAAAGAGTAAAGAATACTCACAACATTCCTCATTTACAGTGCAGGGTTCTGTCTCTTCAGTGGGGTGAGTGCAAGCAAAGCCATCATCAGGAAATTGCTTTACATATCGCTCTCTTGAACGCAAGCCTGAGCCACACGAAACACTGCATGGGGACCACGTGATCCATTCTGACATCATGCATGTGGAAGAATCTGTAAAAATCAAGGGCCAGTTTTTTATTCATATCTTTGTTTACCAAGCCCCTCGACACACATATTCAACCTCCTGCTCTGCCTAATAAATAAATGAATGAATGAATGAAGGAATAAATGAATGAATAATCAATCAATCAATCAATAAAATGTAACAGTAGGTTTAGGTGAATCTGTGCCTGAAAAAGTGACAAAGTGAATTACACATTGGTTTACAACTTTAATAGAACAAAATTCTAGCATCTAGCACAAAATATATTACCACCTTAAATTTTTCAAAGCATGAAATGTGGAAATTATAATGTTTTCTTAAATTAATCTATTTTTTTTCATAACTTGTTGTAACATAAACATTAAAATGGCCCAATCTTATCTAAAGTTAATGTAGAACATCAATCAATTAGAAATAAAGTACATCCATAAGCTTTTAATCGCAGAATAAAGCTTGACAGGATTATCAGCTGTTGAATGAGACTGAAGGCCTTTATTCTGCAAAGAATAAATAAATAAATAAAATAAAAATACAATGGGTTTATCATGCATCATTCTGAGGCATAGTAGTTTATTAATTATTTAGTTAAATGTATTGTTGAAAGAAATTAAAACAGCTGAACAGCGCTCACTCACCTGTGTGTTATTACAAGATGCCACCAAAAAATTAAAACATAATCCATGTCATAAAACATGGTGTCATAAACAATGTCATAAATCAGTAGTCATAAACCATAGATAAATATATACGTGGATATATGTACATGGATCTTAAAGTATTCTCTGACAATCAAGATGATTCGAAGTTCCTGGATGAGCTAATGTTAATCAATAGTTGCTATCTCGAAATAACATAACTTGGAATGTTGTGACTGACCAGTTAGAATAGAGTGTTACAGACAGAAGGACACTGTCCATACACTTTTTTTGTTTATTATTATTAGTTATGAATTATATTATTACCATTATTATTATTATTATTATTATTATTATTATTATTATTATTAATATTATTATTATTATTTATTTATTTATGTATTTATTTATTTATTTATTTATTGTTATTTCGCTTGAATGCTTACAGTTTCTCAAATTTTACAACAGCTTGCTTAACATGTACATACTAAATACTTTGTTTACTTTATTAGTCACTTCTTATATCCTACTTTACACATAAATGCTTTCACATCTTGTGCTTTACTTTTTGTTTTAATACCAATGAGCAATGTTCTTTATTGATTTCCCCACTGACACTACAAACTCTATCGAAGTCACTTTGACCTTTTAATGTCTCTGAGTAGAAATCAATTTCAGTGCCTGTAGAGAAGTGAGATTTAGTCTCACCAGTAATGATGTAAGATTATGTCATGTGATAAAAATGTCCAGTTATCATTGCTTTAGGACATAAAAAAAAAAAAAAAAATAAATAAATAAAAAGTTCTGTACACTGCAGAGTGCCCCAAGATGTCTGATCAATAAAACTCATGGAGAGCATAAAAACAGTGGGTAAAGGTTAGCCAACTGTTAAATTATAAGTTGTCATGGTATGACCTCAAACCAGGTATGAAGAAAAAGCAAAAGTTTATAATGATAGGGACTTCATAAAGTAGCATTTTGGGATGATAGACCACATCCTTTTCATTTAAAGGGCACCTAGTTTACCCTCTTTTTAAAATGTAATATGAATCTCATGAATTTAATAAGAATTTAATAAGAGCTTTGTGTATGGCAACAGACAGGCAGACAGAAAGAGAGAAGCAACTTGAGTGAGAGGACCAGTATTCAACCATGCATGTACGACCCAGACTTGGACAAAGACCAAACAGAGACTACTGTTGAGGATTCAATATTCCTAATGTGCCAGAATATGTCAGAGTGGTAGTTACAAAATCATTTGTGTCTTTGTATAGTTTTACAGCCGCTAAATAACGATGCATCTGTATAGGGATGCAACGATTAACCGGTTTTACTATTGACAGCGTTTTATTTCGTCACGGTTAACTAATCATAAAGGCTTCTCAACTCCATGTTTCTGCACGAATCAAAACTGCAGCAACTAAACAAAGTTATGACAACTGTGTGTTAGTTTAAAGTTCAGAGTTTGTAAATGGAGACAAATAACCACGCACACTGGATTAACTTTGACTGAAGCTATAACCAAAGCGCTGTTTTGGGCTCAAGCATGGTTCACTTGGCCGGCCCTGGCCAGGTTGGAAGAGGTGGGCTTGAGCGTGGTTTACTTGGGCTTTGGCGCGGTATGCTTGTAGTGTGAGCGCAAAAGGCGCCAAAGCCCGAATCTGAAAGCGAGACGTGACTTTTAAGGGACTTTCATATGGATTTATTAATCATTCTTACTGTTCAGTGAACGCAAACTGCCGTAGTTTATTAAAGGCGCAAACCCCTCACTGCACGACAACTGTGCACCTTCAGCAAACCTCCTCATTCCTGCAGCACGAGGGCTTTATGATTGTTTATGAGCGACAAAAGTACCAGATTCGTCGAAATATCTGACTGCGTGTCACCGCATCCCTAAGGACTGTTTGGCGAAATAAATGCATGTCACTGCATATCAAACGACTGAAATTATATAACTAGAGAAATCTCCACTGTGCTGCTGAGTAAGAGCGCTTCTTACTGAACAGCACAGCAGCGATGACGTATGCGTGCCGGGGCCCGATTGTGGTGTGAGTGCGGGCCGTCGGGGGAGACAGGAGGGGGGACAAGCATGCTTTGGCCCGGTTCGGGGCAACTGTACCTAGTGTGAGTACGGCCCCAGTTGAGATGAAGGAGAGCTTCTGTGACCGCGGGTAATGCAATCGGCTGAAGTTTAACCTTCCTGTCATGTTAGGGTCAAATCTGACAGATTTATAAATCACTTATAAATATTGTGTTTTACATCTGATTGCCTTAAGACCTTATGATATCCTCCACACTGTGCATTTGAACATATAAAAGTGATGATTATCTCTTTCATTGAATTGAGTGTTTTAATCAACCTTGTTACACCTGTGGTGTTCCCAGTCAAAAATGACCGCCATTGAAAATGAATGGATATCCAAGCAATATTCATCAGACAGAAAACATCCCCATACACACTACCCCAACTCACTCACTCACTCACTCACTTCAGACTGAACACTGTCTTTTGCAAGTAGACATCTCCTTTATGCGCTTATGTGCTGATTCTCCAGCCTGATTTCACAAGGAAACAACTATTTATGTTTTGTCAGTTTAGTGGCTAATTAAAATGTGTTCAGTCATACAAAAATGTATGATTTTTAAAAGGAAGCGTGGCACCCAACCCCACCCTTAAACCCAATTGTCCTTGGGGATAAGCAAATTGTACAAAACTGTATGAATGAGATCATACAAATTCATACAAATTAGCTACTAAACCAATAAGTCATGAATTGCCATGAAAGTGTTGGATCCTCCAACGTGAATCAACTGCCTGATAAAACAGTGTTTTCAGATTTTTCAAATCTTCACAGACTAGGTGTCTGTTATGTGAACCCATCTGTGTGTCTTTCTTTCTTTCTTTCTTTCTTTCTTTCTTTCTTTCTTTCTTTCTTTCTTTCTTTCTTTCTTTCTTTCTTTCTTTCTTTCTGCCAATCTTCGTTCAGCCAATCTCTGAATCTAGCAGGAGCACTTTTAGCTTAGCTTAGCAACAATTATTTTATTATATTAGACCAGGGTTTTTCAAAGTCTAAGACAGTGGGCCTCCCTTTTGACACAACTTATCCATTGGCGCCCCAATCCTCCCAAACACGCACGCACACACACACACACACACACACACACACACACACACACACACACACACACACACACACACACACATATATATATATATATATATATATATATATATATATACATACAGTATATATATAGACAGACAGATGTCAGACTGTGGGAACGGAGTGAGGCCACCGCGTAAGTGGATACACCTGCAGTGCGCACCTGCCTCGGATCCCACGGAAGGAGCTCTGGATCATAAAAGGAGGAACGAGGGCAGAGGAAGACGAGAGAGGACCGGGCCCGGACATATTTTACTTTTGCTTTCAGTTTGTTTTGGTTTAGACAGCAGCCTCCGTGAGGAGCAGCCGTCACTGTTATTAATAAATCATTTTAAAACTGCTTCGGTTCTCCGCCTCCTTCTTCCCGGCGGCCAAAGGGCCGTGAACTTCATTACAGCTTTGAATCGGGGGGTCTCAGAAACCGACCCATTGTATTAGCAGGCATATACATGTATTGGCAGGCTTGCCAAACAGAAGCGAATTCACAGCTATGGCCTTTTGGGTAAAAAAGGTTTTCTTATATTTGACATATTATTTTTTTTTTGCTTTGTTTAATTAAAACGTTTAAATATAATAAAAAATACATATAATAATTAAACATAATAATAATATTTTTATTATATTATATTTTTTCCTGTGCCTCCCCTGACATGCTCTGGCGCCTCCCAGGGGAGGCGCGCCTCACACTTCGAAAACCCCTGTATTAGACCGTTATTATCTCTCTCAAAAATGACCAAAGTATACCTAGTGCTAGTTCTGTTTCCATCCCACCGTATATACCCTCAGTCACTATTCCCTATATTAGTACACTGATAAAGTGCAATTGAAGGACTGAAAATTTGATCACTCAGAACACAGGAAATGATAGCATTTTGTTAGTGGTTTGGTGGTTGATAAATCATTAAGATGGATTTAAATATCAATTTCTTTGGTCTGACCCTGTGATAGTTATTTTACTTAGTTGTTTATTATTAGTAATGAAACAAAGTGTTTTGATTTCTGTCATCTGTTGTTTATTTTGTAATATATTTTCAGCAATGGGTGAAGCAGTGGTGCAGTAGGTAGTGCTGTCGCCTCACAGCTAGAAGGTTGCTGGGTCACTGGTTCGAGCCTTGGCTCAGTTGGCGTTTCTGTGTGGAGCTTGCATGTTCTCCCTGCGTTTGCGTGGGTTTCCTCCGGGTGCCCTGGTTTCCCCCACAGTCCAAAGACATGCGGTACAGGTGAATTGGGTAGGCTAAATTGACTATAGTGTATGAGAGTGTGTGTGTTTGTGTGAATGTGTGTGTGGATGTTTCCCAGAGATGGGTTGCGGCTGGAAGGGCATCTGCTGCATAAAAACTTGCTGGATAAGTTGGCAGTTCATTATGCTGTGGCGAACCTGGATTAATAAAGGGACTAAGCCGACAAGAAAATGAATGAATGAATGAATTTTCAGCAACTATTTTTTTTCTTTGCAGATATTTTATGTCCAATTCTGTAAATTCTTGTTAAACACTACTTTGAGACATTGTTCACAACTAAAGAATGTTGAATAAAAAATTGGTGGAGAACAATAATTTGTGTGCTAATATAAGAGCAGTTAAAACAGACCGGTCAATTTTGACCAGGAACACTAAAGTAAGAGGCAGCATGTGAAAACTACAGGAGGGTTAAGGAAGACGCAATGAAAAGTACACATGTTCACAAATCCACTTAAAGCTACAGACAATTGAGCCAATGAGAGCTATCATGCGGTGAATGTTGATCCACCAGCCGAGATCAATCAAGTTTATTCGGAGAGATTGCTGAAAGACTCGGTGGTTCAGTTGTTTTTACTGGCCCAAATCTCGATACGTTGCATTCACTGCGCGTTCAGCGCAAATGGCCACTAATTGTGAAATTTCTGTTGCTCATTCGCAGGACGACGATGAAGGCTTTTGTGTTGAGCCCAATGAGCTTTACATGCAAGAATAAAGCAAGGGTGTTTCTTTGGTGACATTGCTTTGATTCACGCGCTGAAAAAGGTGGACGTGAAACAACAAATTGAGGATATGGTAATGCGCTTCTGTCAATCAATATTGGTAGGCGGGGGAACCGCACTACTACGTCAAGTTGCGGTCGGCCTCAAAACTGCTTTAATTGGTCCACCGTTTTTATGTTGTTAAAGGGAAAAAAGGACTGGGTGTGTTTATTACACTCCAATATGATGGTCTGTAAACTAAACCAACACACATGTCTGTCCAAACAGCTTGAAAAGTAGATTTTTAACTATAGGTGCCCGTTAATAAATTGGGTAACAATATACTAATTAGTTTTGATTTACATGCATAAGAAAGAAAGAAAGAAAGAAAGAAAGAAAGAAAGAAAGAAAGAAAGAAAGAAAGAACTATGACTTTTATAAAAACTATAACTGCAAACTATATGGTCCGGAAAAAAAAAATTCAGTGCAAATGCTTACATGTTCTTTATTCTTCACTCACACAGATCAACAAATATGCCAGGTGAGCAGCAAACTGAAATAATGACCTACCTCAATGTGAATGACAAATTGGAGCTGTAATAATAATGTTGTCTGCACATTATAGGTGTACAGTAATTGGTTTGTGGGTCTAAGCATAGAGTATTCAGTTTGGATGCCAGCATAATTTTTGATTTTCTTCCTGAAGTCAGCTGTCATCTACTGTATAATATAGTTTCTATAAAATCCTGCTTTACTCGAGACTTTTAACTGTGCAAATACACAATGTTTGGAATAATACATGGCAGTTGTTTTATAATATTTATTTACTGGCACTTGGATCTCACAAAGCTATTCGCGATATGTCAAGTTAGTCTTACTGAAAATGCATTCCTCAGCTAATAGCTTTCAAAACATAAAGGGCCCTATTCTGATGATCCATGCGCAAAGTGCAACAGGGCCCAAACGCATTCAGGGCGTGTCAGAATCCATTTTTGCTAATATAAAGACGGAAAAATCTGCTTTGCGCCATGACACATGGTCTAAAAGGGTTGAGCTTATTTGTTTTAATGAGTTATAGGTGTGTTTTGAGAATAAACCAAAAGAATAAATCAGAGTCTCATCTGTCATTCCTATTAACACCCAATGTACAAAGTGAACTAAGTGAGGCAAATTTATTCATTTACAAATACTAGATACAGCAAAGATATGTTGTGGTATTTATTCCATGCTGTGCAAAGAACTGCACAAAAACTGTCCTTTATTTATTGGCAATATGTCCCTTTAATATGACAATATAGCTGACAAAACATTGCTGCTACTCTGATACAAGTTTCATTTCTGGAAAAAAAATAAATAAATACAAAGCACTGCAGTGTTTGGGTGTTCTGTGTTTGTTTTGTTTGGAATAATTAGACTACTGAAATGTGTACATTCCATACAAGCTGAAGTTAATCTGTCATTTCTTGTCATGTGACCAGGGGCCCCACGGCCACCCCTGGGTAAACTCTGGCCATCCCTGTGGCCACACCAATATGATTTTGCTGTTGATATTAATAATTTAATTTTACTTATGTAAATCCCCAATATTTAAATAATAAATAAATAAATTAAATGCAGCAACCAATATATTGTTGGTGTCACTGGCGTAGCTGATTCACTGCCCCTCCCCCTCCCCTAGTGGCGGATTTAGGCATGGGTAATATGGGCAATCGTCCAAAGGGGCATCTTGCTGGGGGCGACAGAAGGAGACAGTGCAAAAAAAAAAAAAAAAAAAAAACATCCCTACTAGTTAAAGCATTGACATACAAATTACTTTATGCAGGTGTATTAACTTAGAATGGCAATCACAGAATAAAGATGTTATGGGCCATTCACAGTTGGCATCTTTTGAATGAGTTCTCTATGTGCAACCGAAACAATGTTGGTGAAAGCTAACTAACACATGCGCGCTGAAAACCATTCCTGTGTGCCTCACGCACTCCTGTGTGAATCCCAGTTGTTTGCAGGCATGCCGATAAAATATGCGCCGCTCATGCACCGTGAAAGCGAGTAACAGTCTTTTGTGCAGAGGTGTCGACATGCACTGAGTAGGCAAAACTAAAGTTTATATAATATGGTGATGATGTAACTTTTACTAAGCATGGCCACAAAGCAAAAAGAAGGAATAATGAGTCAGGAAGGTAAGACTTCATAACATTAATTCTCAGCCATGAGTTCACTGATCATTCTATAAAAAAAATTTGTATTCTATAGAATTATCATACTAATATTCATGCAAAAGACTTCTTAAGTGATCTTAGCATATCACTCCAGTTGTTACATTGATGTCCATAACATTTAGGATTGATTTTCATTGATTTATTCATTGATTCATTCATTGTTTCATTCATTCAATCATTCATTCATTCATTCATAAATTTTCTTTTTGGCTTAGTGCCTTTATTATTCCAGGGTCACCACAGTGGAATGAATTGCCAACTTATCCAGCACGTTTTTTTTTTTTTTGCAGCGGATGTCCTTCTAGCCGCAACCCATCTCTGTGAAACATCCACACACACTCATTCACACTCATACACTACAGACAATTTAGCCTACCCAATTCACCTGTACCGCATGTCTTTGGACTGTGGGGGAAACCGGAGCACCCGGAGGAAACCCACGCGAAGGCAGGGTGAACATACAAACTCCACACAGAAACGCCAACTGACCCAGCCGAGGCTCGAACCAGCGGCTTTCTTGCTGTGAGGCGACAGCACTACCTACTGTGCCACTGTGTCGCCCTAGGATTGATTTTTGTTATTTATTTATAATAATAATAATTGTAAAAGATTTGGTGTGGCCTCTTCTGGCCACCCCTAAAAAATTTTTCTGGGGGCACCACTGCATGTGACTCATGGTGTGCTCTTCGGAATTCATTTAACTGGGTGCATCTGGAAGGCGCAAGCACATCACACTATTGTGCATGCAAGCTATGCACCTCTATTGGAAACAACAAATTTGTGCGAACTACAGAAAAGACGCAATATGCAAAGGCCCCTAAAAGGTCGCCTTCATTTGTGATCTCCAGCGGTTGATCTTGTTGCACAGACATGTTGGTTTCAACTGATTTGTTGACAGATGGGTTGCAGATATATTCCTTGGCAGTTTGTGGGTCCTTCACTGGGTTTTTTCCACTTAGCAAATAAACTTTACAAAGACTTTTGTTTCTTACTCATTTTGCTGCTTAGGGGTTAAAATTGGGCGCTCAAGTGACCGAGATGTAAGTGAGAGAATATGGTCATTTTTCAAAATGAAAGACTTTTCAAAATGAAATAATTTTCAGACTCAGATAATAAATAAAATGGAAATAAATAATGATTTCTTCTGCGGCCTGGTGGTTGAGGACCATTGCTGTATCACATAAGTCTTATAAGCCAGTTATGTAAGGGCTATGTATTTGTTTTTTTGTTTTTTTAAATCACATGTCTATGCGTATAAGCATAATTGTCATCACTTCATGTAGTTTTGCTACTTTGTTGTTCTATTCAATGAGAGAAACTGGAAAAAAACAAATAACAGCAAGACATGAAACCTTGATTTGGTGTGCTTTTGTAACTGACCTTCATCACTGCAGCCGGGCCCCATGCAGGGCTCAAAGTCTTGTGTATGTGGACAGGGCACACTGAGATCCAGCTGCGCCTTCAGCATCCTCTGCCTCATCCTCTTCCCCTTCTCACATGTCGAGGAGCTACATGCAGACCATGGAGACCAGTTGGAGTAGATACACGTCTCTGGAGTGTCATCTGAGAAAACACAATAGAAGCAGGATAATAAAAAAGTGTGATTCTGTCATGAAAACTATATGAAAAATTCATTCAGTCATTCATATTCCTTCAGTTTAGTCCCTTTATTCATCAGGGGTATTGCCACAGCTTAATGAATTGTACTGGGAAGTACTAGGAAACGCACATACACTGTCACATGCACACAAACACACTACAGCCAATTTAATTTATTCAGTTCACCTGTACCCCATGTCTTTGGACTGTGGAGGAAACCGGAGCACATGGAGGAAACCCATACAAACACCGGGAGAATATGCAAACTCCACATAGAAATGCCAACTGGCCCAGCCAGGGTTCGGACTAGCGAACTTCTTGCTGTGAGGTGACAGTGCTAACCACTCCACACCAGTCATTGTGTCTCCTCTGAGATAATAACATGATAATTAATATGTATATGTGGTTGGTGTCGGCAGCATATCTGCTACGTTGCTGCTGCTCCTTTAATTAATGGTACAGAGCCTTGCGGAGACTTGCTATAACCAGTATAGACATACAAATCACACTCATGCTCTCTGAAAATATCACACTGTCGCTGCAAACAACATACAAGTAACCTCTGTACCAGATCTTTATTTATCCTTTATTCAGTCAGAAAGAGCCCTATTGAGACATCACAGTTTCTTCAGTAAGTCAAGGGAGCTGTTCCATTAAACAAGAGAACAAGCCAGGCATATTTTGAAAAGGCAGACTTATAAATGATTTCATAAATTAAACTCATGGCAACTTCTGCTTCAAAACTAACCTGGTCCAAGGCAGGCTAACTGCTTAACCAGCTAACTGTTAAAATTCAACTACCAACAATATGATGCCATTTAAATTCACTTAATCGCTAAACATTGATTAAATGTACCTTAGTAGCGAAGATATAAATACAATAAAAAATTAAAATAAATAAAAAATCACAAAGGATTAATTAAAAGTGTAGGTGTAAAAGTTCAATTAGAGAGCTCAGCTCATTACAGTCATGTCCTTTCATTGATGAGCTATAAGTGTAATTTAACTGGGGGACAGGGTGGGCATGGCCAGTGGCTGGCCCAAGCTATTGACTGACCCCAAAACAAAATTTGTGCAATAGGATTTTTTTTTCTATCATAGAAAGCAGCATTAAACATCTTAATAAGCATTCTTTTACTTAGCGAGGCTCACTTGCCAACTTTATTAGTCTTGAAAATTGAATGATGACCATTTAAGCAACATAAGACAAAAAGATACACTGCCAGATAGCATACAAATGTGGGCCACATTAGGCAGTTATGCTGTACTGGTGGTCTTCCTTTAACCAAGACAAAATGAATGTGAGCCTGAAATGGCCCATCTGTACATTGTCAAAGCGGGGGACACTTATGGCAAAATGTAATAAATGTAATAAATTTGGCCCAAATGATGGAGGATACATGTGGGCCACAGCAACATTTTGGCATAGTCGTTTAAGGGTAAATCTGGGTCTAAACCTAAAGTGGCTTACATGAGTAGGTGCAAATGTAGCCCAGTTATCTTAAGACATATGTGGGCCACTTTTGGCAAATATTTGGCACAGCTATCTCTCTCTCTCTCTGGCTCAGTGGTTGGCACTGTTGCGTCACAGCAATAATGTTGCTGGTTTGAGTCCTGGCTGGGTCAGTTGAAATTTCTGTGTGGTAAATGCATGTTCTCCCCATGTTTGCGTGGGTTTTCTCCGGGTGCTGTGGTTTTCCCCACAGTTCAAAGACATGCTATTTAGGTGAATTGAATTAACAAAATTGACCATAGTGTATGTTTGTTAATAAGATGTGTATGGATGTTTTCCAGTACTGGGTTGCAGATGGAAGGGCATTCGCTGTGTAAATCATACGTTGGATAAGTTGATATAAAAGTTCATCCCTGATGAATTAAGGGACTAAGCAGGAAAATAATAAATAGAAGTTATTTATTTATTAGTTAGATTTTCTTAGGGTTAGTTACTATTTCAGATGCTGCCACAGCGGAATGATCCACCAACTATTTCAGCATATGTTTTAAGCAGCGGATGTCAATTTACCTTCCAGCCATAACCCAGTAGTGGGAAACATAGGTACACACATACACTATGGCCAGTTTATTTTATACAATTCAGATGTGGTGCATGTCTTTGGACTTTGGGGGAAACTCACACGAACACAGGGAGAACATGCAAACTCCACACAGAAATGCCAACTGGCCCAGTCAGGACTCGAACCAGCTACTTTCTTGCTGTGAGGTGACAGTGCTAACCACTGAGCCACAGTCGTGCCCCCAAAGCATCTATAAAGTTCACATTAAAAAGAATATATATATATATATATATATATATATATATTTAATAAAAACATAGTAGTAGTAGTAAAATAAATAAATAAAAACTCTCTCTCCCCATCTCTCTCTCTTTCTCTCTCTCAAGGTCGCATTAGATGAAAAGATAAAGAGATGCAAACCTTCTTCTTTTTCCTCCTGGGCAATGTCAGCCACAATGTCGTCCACATTATCAGGCACAATGTTGCACTGCTCACCCTGCAGACATCAGAAAACAATTTCAACTTTCAACAGACTTTAAATCATGTCCATCATTCAATCATCTGATTGAACAAAAATAAGAAGAGGAAGAAGAAAAAGATACAAGAAAAAACTGTGAAGAACATGATACTGACTGCTTTAACTCTTCATTTCATCTTTAGTTCTTCACCATTAGAGAATGCATGACTTTTAATACTTTCAGGACACTACTGTGACACGCTGGCTTTATAAATATGCATGATCTGTTATTGTCAAGATATTTTAGCTCTCAGTTTATAGAGTTTCATGAAATAAATAATGCAGAGTTGCTTTGCACAGTAGTAAAACCAACAAAACAACAACAAAAAACAAAACAAAAACATAATTTTCTTTTGAAATGGATTTTTTCTAAAACAAGAAAAGAAAACAAACCTTTCGGGCAATTCTCTCCACAACAAGCCTGGCCACGGGAGTAATTGCGCCACCCTCCGGGTCATAGAAAGGGCTTTGTGGATGATCTAAACTCGTGAGGGGACGGATTTTCTCCTGGGGTGCTGTAGACTTGTTGGGAGACTATGGCACATAAAAAGAAACCATTTTACAAATTAATCCACCTTCTCATAATGTTCTAAAGTTGCTTCTTCAGAATGTACAAGCTGCACTTTCACCATAAAATTATTATTGGAGGTTATTATTAGTCACTGGATATTTGTTCAATAATCACATATAAAATAATTAAAATTGGAGTCCAACATAGTTATTTCTTATTTTTGCAGTTTACAATCACCTCACACAGCAAAAAGGCCACCATAGAAAGCCTTCGGGCTTTGAAAAGAGAGATTAGCTCTGCAGTCAACAACAAGGTCGCTGAGAGAGGTCGAATATAACACACACGACCAGGGGGCAATACAAATGACAGTATATGAACAGAACTCCTCAGCGGTTCTGTGTGGAATAAATAAATAATAAATACATGTTTTGACCAGATACAATAAAAGGAATGTTTCTAGTCACAACATCACATAGTACAACAATGCAATATGAGCTTTATTGACAGCAACTGTCATTAACATTACTTAACCACACAACCTCTGTAGTAAAGGAAGTAACATTTCAGTATTTAAAATAAAAAAGTATCATCCTTTGAAAAGATGCTATTTGAAGCAAATTCAGATAACACACCAGCAGATGGCAGAATCAAGCTACACTAGACTGAAGCTAAAAATTAAGTCTTCCTTTTTTAATTAAATCATGTTTTTTCTTTCCTTCTATTTTTAATTGTGTTCTGTTAGTAACACAGAGAAAACTCATTTAATGCAATTTGTTTTCATGATGTGTATGCAGATTGAAAATAAATTAAAGTTTTCACAAAGTGGGATAAAAAGTATTAGGCTAAACTGAAAGGTGTAAACAAGCAACAATTAATAAACAAATCAAATAAACAATTTACTCATTAAATATACCAATCAATAGTTTTTATTTAAGCAGACAGAAGATTTTAGAGATTAGAAATACCTCAACCAAATACTTTTTTCATATGTAAATATTATCTATGTATTTACTTTTTTATTTATTTTTATTTTTAATTTTATTATTTATTTAATTTATTAATTCATTTTCTTCTCAGCTTGCACACAACATCAAAAGACTTTAATATTAGGTAAGATTCAGGTTGTCATTTCATGTGACCAAAATTTAATGTCTAGCCAGCATCTAAAGACAATGTTATTTTGATGTACAATAACGACGTCAAATGACGTGATATTTTTTCGACTTTAGGCTGTGTTGGAAAATGACCAAAATCCAACGTCGAGCCAACATCTTAAACCAACATCATACTGATGTCAAATACTGATATTTATTCATTAGATATGGCAACCAAAATCCAACATCTGATAGACATCATAATAGTAAAGTCTGCACAATGTCGAGCTGTAAAAGCATTAGGCTTTGAAATTTGTTTGGTGTTAGGTTGGACATTGAGATTGGCCTGACATTGAGTTCTTACGTCAATTCGATTTTCATCTCCAAACAAAATGCATCGTTTCCATGACATTAAGGTACAACTTCAATCTTAAGGCCATTTTGGTCATCATACAGTAAACATCCGTCACCTTCTCATCAGTGACATGCATCTCAACAGTCTCTGGGTCAATACGTCTAAAGATTTTGGACTTCTTCTTGGACACTTTTAATGATTCAACGTCTTGAGGTCTTTCAATGTGATGTGATTTTACCTTCTATGTGCCATTTGATTGGACTTGCAGGACAGATTTTTCTAATCCCCATTGACCAAAAAAAAAAAAAAAAGTAGTGACTGCAGGTTGAAGGAAAGTAGTGGAGTAAAAGTACTGATACAGCACTAAAAATGTAATTAAGGGAAAGTAAAAGCACTTAGTAAAATACAAATCCTGAGTAAAACTACTCAATCACAGTAATTTGAGTATCTGTAATTAGTTACTTTACACCACTGTAGCACATGTCTTTGGACTGTGATGGAAACCAGAGAACCTGGTGGAAACCCACGTGAACACAGGGAGAACATGCAAACCACACAGAACTGCCAACTGACCCAGTGAATCGTAATCGGGCCTGATTTACGATTATGTGGTCTGAGACTTAATTGGAATCGGATGTTACCTCCCCATCAGGACTCCAATACAGTATATACAGCATTTGATTGTGTGTGGGTGTGTGTATTCTCCTTATTTTGTAACACATCAACAGTATATATATATATATATATATATATATATATATATATATATATATATATATATATATATATATATATATATATATATATATATATATATATATATATATATATATATATATATATATATTAAACTGGTGTCAGACATTTGGGCCCTAATGTATCTCTTTTGATTTGTGCTCACCTCATAAGAGACCCCGCTGTCTGTTCCTGCGTCCCATGGGATGAGGTCCTGAACCACCTTCTGGACCCAGCCACACTCTCTGGTGCAGAGGTCTTCGGATGACAGACCCACATTCCAGTCAGGACTGGGACCAAGCATGGTTAAAAAGGACATCAGGTGACGTGTGCGGTCCACTGAGAACTCGGCTGATGGAGCTGCTCGACTGCAGGGAAGAGAAAACCAGGTGAATACACATCAATAAGGTATATCACAAAAATGCATTTAAAAGAAAACATTATATAAAAAAAAAGAAAAAAAGTTAGCTTGAATAAAGTAAAGCCTATTTTCTCTCTTCTCAATTATTTTGTTTACAATATAATTTGAAAGATAACGAAGCACTACCATTTTTTATGATTCAAATAGCTAAAAGTAAAATACTAATAAAAAAATTTATTGGATTGATTTTGATGCTGATTAAAAATGTAACAAAAATAAGTCCATCACAAGAAGGGTAAAACATGGTCAAGGAAAAAAAGACAAGAGAAAGCAGTCAAGCACGGAGGTGTAAAAATATAACAAGCAGTATTTTTTCTTCTTCTCACCAAAATAGATGATGGAGGAGTGTGGGTCTAAATGTGTAGCCATTGTGCTCTCCTCTTGAAAATGAAAGTGGGATTCCTTTTGTTGCCACCACTCTGACTGATATTTTCTCATCATAATACCTCTTATCTGGTAATTACACTGCTGAACCGGCCTCTCCCTCTGTCTTTATCCCTCATTCAGTAGAATAGTGAACTGGTGCATAATACTTGTCCTAGCTTTTCATTAATGAAAAAGTTACAGTTTGTAAAACTAGTTATTAAACTCCATTATACATGTAAGCAACAACAAACTTTGAGAGTTTGTCAAGATTTCAACAAATTCCACTGGCATGTAAAATAAGCTTTTTTTTTTTTAATACAGGGGAAAATTAGTCTGTAAGACAAAGTACTTTGCTGTAAACATACGAACAAAAAGGATAAGCAGAGTGAACCAATGCTAATCAATATATGTATATGTATATGTATATGTATATATATAAAGTGAAGATCATGGGGCTTCTAGAAGAACACAAATATTCTCTGGAGCTGATGGTGAAGCCAAAAAAAATAAATAAATAATAAAAAAAAAATAAAATATATATATATATATATATATATATATATATATATATATATATATATATATATATATATATATATATATATATATATATATATATATATATATATATATATATATATATATATATTTATATATATATATATAAATAAATAAAAGAGAGCCAGAGTACATAAAAGATACAAGAGATTGGAAGACCAAAGCACAGCTAAGTTCAAGTCAAAGTTCAGAGATCCTTGGCTGACCGAGAATGAGTTAGTGAAAGCTTGATTTGGGCCTTATTTTATTTTATTTATTTTATTATTTCATTTATTTATGTATGTATGTATGTATGTATGTATGTATGTATGTATGTATGTATGTATTTATTTATTTATTTATTTATTTATTTATTTATTTATTTATTTATTTATTTATTTATTTATTTATTTATTTTTTATTAGGGATGAACCAAATATTCAGCTGACAAAAATATCATCATTACAGCACAGTGATTAGCTCTGCCACCTTACAGCAAAAAGGTTGCTGGCTCAAGTCCTGGCTTGATCAGTTGACATTTCTGTGGGTAGTTTGCATGTGCTCCCCTTGTTGACATGGGTTTCCGATGGTTGCTCCAGTTTTCCCGACAGTCCAAAGACATGTGCTAAATGGTAAAGGAATTGAATAAACTAAATTGTCTGTAGTGTATAAGGGTGTGTGTGTGTGTGTGTGTGTGTGTGTGTGTGTGTGTGTGTGTGTGTGTGTGTGTGTGTGTGAATGAGTGGGTATGGGTGTGTCCCATATTTGGAAGCTTTTGTTTCAGCTTTTGTTTTAATAATTGGCAGTTCATTCTGCTGAGGCGACCTCTGGAATATAGAATAAGCCAAAGGAAAATGAATGATGAATGAACAATGAAATAATTTATTAATAAGACATACATATGCAGTATACTTGTTCCTGTCTATTGCATATACACGGTGTATATTTATAAAGTGAAATTGTCTCAAATATATTTTTTGCTAAAAAAGTAAAAAAAAAAATCATATTGTAGCATCAGATTGTGGATCATATCAAATTGTGAGCTTTGTGTATTGTTACATCTCTAAACAGAATCATTTTAAAGAGGAAAAAAGAAGAATTGGAACCTCTAAAATGGAATAAGTGGTCGGCCACAGGCTGTGGATTCACAGGAAATGGGTTGGCAGAGTGACATAAGGTCAGGGGCTGCAGTGGATTCTGGGAAGAGCTCTATGGTCATGTAGTTGTGAGTTGAGCTATGAGAGGAAGTTCTTTTACACAGTAAAAGGGGATCTCCAACTTAAGAGCCAAATCTAAAATTTGGCACAATGTGGACCATCAAAGGAGCAAAATTGATATGGCTAATCTCAATACGGACTCAACCAAAACTAAAGATAAACTAGTCAACACACGGGCGATGCAATGGCATAGTGGGTAGCACGTTTGCCTTACAGCAAGAAGGTTGCTGGTTTGAACCTCAGCTGGGTCAGTTAGCATTTCTGTGTGGAGTTTGCATGTTCTCCTTGTGTTTGCGTGCTCCGGCTTCCCTCACAAGTGCAAAGGAGTGCAGTACAGGTGAATTGGGTAAGATAAAATTGACCGTATTGTATGAGTGTGTATGGGTGTTTCCCAGTGATGGGTTGCAGCTGGAAGGGCATCTGCTGCAAAAACAAATATGCTGGATAAGTTGGCGGTTCACCCCAGATTAACTAAGGGACTAAGAATGAAGAGTAAACATAGAAGAAATACTAGGATGTATAACACTGATGTTAATCCAATAGTGTCAGGGTTGTGGATGGGAAATGGGGAAAAAGGAGCGAGGACTCGGGAATGGGGAATTTATTAAATAAAAAAAAATTTTCTGCACATTAGGCACACTTAAATGCACTGTTGCCTCTCACTGGTGTACTAATTTTATTGCATGTTTTGTTGTTTTTTGCTTGTGCAACCCCGACAGTCCTACACCACTTAATCCACTCCAAACTGGGATTGAACCGGTGACTTCCTCATGAGAAAAAAATTACTATAGTAAAAAAGACTGAGGTTTACCAGCACAGCTCTTTACTAACTGGCCTCTGTTACATTCACCCCCATAAACCTAACTTTCATCCGGGTCACGGCACCAATGTTACTCTGCCGGTCCTACACCAGCTAACCCACTTCGAGCTGTGATTGAACTCGTGACTTTCCACATTGGAGTTGGTTGCTATAACAAGGAGGCTAAAAACCATGGCCTCTATCATCTGTCTCTAGAGTACCTTTTCAGGTTCAGCGGGTAAGGTTTACCGTGACAGCTCTTTTGCTAACTGGCCTCTGTTACACTCACCCCTTAAACCTCATACCCATCCAGGTCATGGCACCAATGTAACCAGTTCACAGTTCAGTTGGCTGGCCCTGGCCACTATTAATTGGATTTTTTCGCGGTAAGATTGTAGTGTGAGTGCAAAGCACACCGGATTGTGAAACTAAAGATGCAACATGACTTTTAAGGAACTGTCTCATATGGATTTATTAATTATTCTTACTTTTTAAAGATGAAAACTGTCATGGTTTATCAAAGTGTAAACTCCTTTCTGCACATCAGCTGCACCTTCAGCAAACCTCCTAATACAAGGACTTTTCAAAAGTGATGAATCTGTTGAGCAAAATATTTGACCGTGCATCACTGCATCTCAAACGACTAAAAATAATACAAAACAATATAACCATAGTAATCTTCACAATGCTGAGCGAGAGTGCTCCTCTTCCTTTTAAATTGAACAGTTGCATCATCGATGACATAAGCATGCTCTGGAGCAGAACATAAAATGCAATGTGAGTTCAGGTCGTCAGGGGAGAGGGGAGTTGGGCAAGCACACTTTGGCACAGTTCAAGGCAACTGTACCTAGTGTGACTTCACCCTAAGTCCCTTTCTAATACAGACAACTTTTTAATTCAATATTCCTCACTTGTGGAATAATCTTCTCATCCCCATGTGGACTGCAGATTCACTCTTATATTTCAAATGACATCTAAAAATCCATCTCATCCACCAACACTTAAAAAATAAAAATAAAACAATAATAATAATAATAATAATAATAATATTAATAATAATAATAATAATAATAAATACCTCCTTTTAAATACTGTCTTTTATTCCTATTTTATTCCTATTTATTCATTCATTCATTTTCTTTTTGGCTTAGTCCCTTTATTAATCAGGGGTTGCCACAGCGGAATGAACTGCCAACTTATCCAGCATGTTTTTACACAGCGGATGCCCTTCCAGCCGCAACCCATCTCTGGGAAACATCCACACACACTCATTCACACTCATACACTACGGACAATTTAGCCTACCCAATTCACCTGTACTGCATGTCTTTAGACTGTGTGGGAAACCGGAGCACCCGGAGGAAACCCACGCGAACGCAGGGAGAACATGCAAACTCCACACAGAAATGCCAACTGACCCAGCCAACGCTCGAACCTGTGACCTTCTTGCTGTGAGGCAACAGCACTGCCTACTGCACCACTACGTCGCCCATCTGCTAAATTAAAAAAAAAAAAATGTAAATTTAATTCAAATAAATAAATCAATAAATGCATTTAAAATTAAAGACATTTAGTTCTAAAATGGAATTAAATTATTATGATGCCTTAGTTACATTGAGCGGTATGGCTCGATTCAGTTCAATTCAGTTCAGTTCAGTCATGTTGATCAGGCTTGCATTTCCACTGCCAAGAATATTCTTTATGTACAACTTAAAGCTGTAGTTGATGTTATTCTTGCTTGAAGATTAAAGCTGTACAGGTCAGTCTCATATGTGTGTTTTGTAAACTCAAGTTCATTATTTTAAATATAGGTGACTTATAAGCACACATAAATATATATATAAAAAAAAAAGAAACGGCACCTGTTACGAGTAGTGTAGTCTAGGCTTGTGTGTAGTGTCTCTCTCTATCTCTTTCTCTCGCTCTCGCTCTCTCTCTCTCGCTTTAAGGATTCGCAGGTGCAGCGGATTACATTAGGACGGATTATGATTGGCGCTTGGATTGGCGGCGGCTAATCGTGAAAGAGCT